TGCAAAAGGCTTCCTCTCTTCCCGGAAGCCCCCCCCCCCGTTGGCTCTGTCAGGACTACTGGGGTTCACATGGATCTTTCTGCACCAAAGGCAGTGCAGGAGATCATGGTAGAGAAGTCCCAGTCCCAGATCCCAGATGCACAAGACAGATGGTCCCTTCCAGATGCATCCTCAGGAACTCAGCCCACATCCCCATACCTGTGGACTCGCAGACATCATCCTAAATGCAGGACTCACTAGCCCCGAGGGGCTGGGATGGAAAGGTCAGGCATGAACAGCGCATGCTCTCACGACACTAGGCCTAGAGCTGAGGTGGAATGGGTTACTTTCGTCTCCTCCCTCCAACTGGTCGCCTTGTCCTGTCTCTTCTGCCTCCTCCTCTCCATTCCCCACCCCCCATCTTGACCCCCTCTGCCCGTTCCAGCTCCGGCCTCGCTGTCTCCACCTAGTTCCTCCCCCGGCCCCTTGCCTCATCTCGCAGGCTCCAGTCTCCTTCCCCATAAGGCCACAGAGGGCTCCTTCTAATGTCCACAGCAGACCTCTCCCTTCGCTGCTCAAAACCCTTCCATGACTGCCCACAGATGAAGATTAAGCTCAGCCCGACGTTCCAAGCCCCTCCCAAGCCGGCCTCTGCCTGAACCTCACCAACAGTAAGAACCTGAATCCTCATAAAACAGCAGAGCTGGGAGGCGCTGAGGAGTCACCTCTCCACTTCACAGGGGAGGCAGCTGACGCCCCCACCCCTCACAGAAGGGGGAAATCAAGGCTGCAGAGGGGACGTGACTAGCCCCGTGTCACCCTGCAAGTCCCTGGCATGGCTGAGACCTACCGGGTCTCTCTTCCTGGTGCTAGAACTGCAGCACCCACAGAAGTCTTGGCACATAGTGGGTGCTCAATTGTGCAAGGATCGGGGGGTTTACACGGCAGAGGGATCTGAGGGAGCTGGTCCACATCCTGGCTCTGGTGCAGGCTGTAAGACATTTAGCAAGTGACTTGTACCTCCCTGAGCCTCAGTTTCCTCCTCTGCAAAATGGGGACTTAATGAAATGATGCATGTGGTTAGAACAGTGGCTGGCCCAGAGTAAACCTTAAATAAACATTAAATACTATCAGCGATGGTGAGCGTTCCAGCTCTTAATCACTGTATTGTTGACCACAGTGTTTGGTGCATGGTGCATGCCCAGAAAAAGTTATTTAAGAATTTGAATTCTAGGGCCGGCCCAGTGGCGTAGTGGTTAGGTTTGCACGCTCTGCTTTGGTGGCCCGGGGTTTGCAGATTTGGATCCCGGGCGTGGACCTATGCACCTGCTGTGGCAGGTGTCCCACATATAAAGTAGAGGCAGATGGGCACAGATGTTAGCCCAGGGCCCATCTTCCTCAGCAAAAAGAGGATTGGCAACAGATGTTAGCTCAGGGCTAATCTTCCTCACACACACAAAAAAAGAATTTGAATTCTAGGATCAGAAAACCTTAGCCCCATTCCCAACTCCCCATGCACTAGCTGGAGGCCTTGGGCGGTGACTTATCCTCTCAGTGCCAAATGGAGAGTAAGAATATCTTTTTCTGGGCTGTTACGAGGATTTTGTGAGATACTCCAGTGATGAATATGTGTTGACTAAGATAAAGCATTTAGCATAAGCCTGGCATATTGTTACGCTTCTGTGCTGAGGGGTGCAGAGTAGAGAGGGCAACTCAGAATGAAAATACTTCCTTCTCTGTCCTGCCAAAGGTCATCAAGCCTGAGACGGAGAACCGGGGGTTGGGTAGCCCATGGCAAGCAGAATCTTCCAGTCAAGCCTCAGCCAGGCCAAGGTATCGGAGCTGCTGAGGGACACTAGGGCTCTGAAGGAGGCCTTTGAGGCAGGGAACCTGCCAGCAATAGCCGCCAAGTTGCAGGCGACACTTGATTTGCTGGAGAATGTCAGGCTGGACATTGGCATTACCGGTGGGACAGGTTCAGGCAAGTCGACCTTTGTCAACGCCATCCAGGGGCTGGGAGATGAGGACCCCAACTCGGCCTGCACGGGTGTGGTGGAAATGACTGTGGACCCCATGCCGTACCCGCACGCCAAGTACCCCAATGTCATCATCTGGGACCTGCTGGGCATAGGCACACCCACCTTCTGGGCTGACAGATACCTCAAGCAGGTGCTGCTGGACCATTACGACTTCCTCATCATCGTGATGTCAGAGCGCTTCACTGCCAACCACGCCCGGCTGGCCCGCGAGATCCTGCGGCGGGGCAAGCGCTCCTACTTCATCCGCTCCAAGGTGGACGTGGACGTTGCCGCCTCGCGCAGCCGCCGCCCCAGCACCTTCTCCGAGGAGAGTGCGCTCAGCCAGACTCGGGGCGACTGCGGGCAGCGGCTGGCGGGTGAGGCGCAGGCTCTGGGGGGCTGGGGTGGGTAGGTCCTTGATGGATTGGCCCCCTTTCCCCTTCATTTCCCAGCTGAGGCCCAGAGTGGGAAAAGGGGTCACCCAAGGTCACCTTCCATGAGTGAACTAGGCCCTACAGTGACATAGTGCTTACAGCTGCCATTTCTTGAGAGTAGGCACTTCTCATTCACAAGTGACAGAGACCAGGCACTTGCATTAAGGGAAAAGAGGGTATGTATCGGCTTGTGTATTGGCCTGGTCGCTGATGGCAGCTAACATTTATTGAGAGCTCACCACGGGCCAGGCACCGTTTCCATGAACTCAGGTCACCACCCAACATCCCTAGGAGGTGGGTACAATGATCACCTTAGCTTATAGATGAGAGAATGGGAGCCCAGAGAGGTTTGGTAACTTGTCCAAGGCCACACAGGTGGTGGGTAGCAAGGCTGGGATCTGAACTCAGGCAGCCTGGCTCCAGGGCTGCCACTCTATACACTGTGCAGACCCCTGGCCAGTGCCTGAGCCCAGGCGGCCATCAGGACACCTGGGCCTGCCTGTGTAGAAAGCGACTGAACGGTGCTCCTGTCTCCCGCAGCGGAGGGCGTGAGGGATCCCCAGTTCTTCCTGCTCTCCATGTTTGAGCTGGGCAGTACGACTTCCACCTGCTGGGGGAGGCGATGGTGAAGGATCTGGAGAGCCACAAGCAGCACGCGTTCCTGATGGCCCTGCCCAACACCTCGAAGCCCATCCTAGAGAGGAAGGCGGCCTCGCTGCGGCGGCACATCTGGCTGGTGGCCACGGTGGCCTGCGGTGTCAACTTGAGTCCCGTGCTCAGCGTATAGGACGTGGCGTGCGGCCTGTACGCGCTCATGCACTCCCTGGAAGACTACCGCCTCAGCTTCGGCCTGGACAAGGATGCCCTGGCCTAGCTGGCCAAGCAGGCGGGCTGGCCCCGCACAAAACCCTCGAGGTGGTGTGGGGCCTGAAGACCCAGGTCAGCGAGGCGCTGCTGGCGGAGCTGCTGGGCCAGGCCTCCGGGGGGGGGCCTCTACTTTCACCCAGGAGCTCCTCGACGTGCCCATCCTGGGCACCCTGGCCGCCTGCAGTACCTCCTTCGCCGCCGTTGACCAGATGCTCAGCACGTCCCTGGGCGTGGCAGTCAAGCATGCCCAGGGCGTGGTGACTCAGGCCCTTCTCCACAACTCTGACCACAAGCTTCCAGAGAAATGCAATCAATAATCCCAGCCCTGAGCCGAGGCCAGCTGGAGGTGGCGGCGGAGGGCTGGGCGGATACAGGCTCTACCTGTCCCCAGGCTGGGTGGTGTTGGGGGATGGGAAGAAAGAAACCAAGCGCCAGCTGTCCTGGCCTGAGACTGTGTGCTGTCTCCTTTTTTGTGCTCTGGGTCTCATGTCCTCTCTGGCATTGCCCCCACCTTCCTTACTCTGGCGAACCCCCACATCAACCAGCAGTCCCTTGGGAAGCAGGGAGAGGGGGCGGGACACGGGAGGGAGAAGTTTTGACAAGGTGAAGAGCTCAGTTGTCTAGCTGGAAAGGGCAGTTCGCAGGCTGTCTGTGCAGGTCAGGGCAGTAAGGCAAAGGATTCAGAAGCCTTTCCCTAAGAGGCCAGTGGCTGTCACAGCTCTGAAGGGCCCTGAGGATCATTGAGGGAGGTTCCTGCCTGAGGTCCCAGTCAGACTCAGACCCACAGCCTGCCCTGGCTCTCGTACCTCCCAGACCTCAGCCCCTCTCTTCAGAGATCTGTGCGGACTCCCCACTTCTGGCCAGACCTTCTCTTCACTGCCCCCACCACCAGTGGCATGGGGGGTGGGGTTGGTGGGTCATGGACAGATGAGACTCAGCTGATTGGACCGGAACTGACTACTTTACTGGAGGGTGGAGTGGCATGATGTGACAGTCAGGACTAATTTGGGATGGGTGAGGAGGCCAGAGCAATTTGGCGACATACTTTGAGAAACACTAAACTACGATTATGTACTGTACTTAACCGTGCAGGTGAGAGTAGGTACTATATTGAACTGTTTGGTGTATTTAACCTAGGGTAGGTACTGGATTTAAAGGTACAGACAATTTTTAAGCAAGAGTAGATGAAGTTTATAGGGGAAGCAAGCCACCATGCTTAATCGACAGTAGGCGTGGTGTGTAAGGTAAGGTATGAGTATCTGAACAAGGGTCGGACCCTTGAAGGGGGAGTACCATATTTAACTAACATCTCTAACTCGGCATGTGTTCTATGTTTTAACCATGTACTGAATTAGGCATTGTATCTAACCAAGCATTCCACCAAAGGTGGGCACTGTCTTCAAGCGAGAGCAGATGACACGAGGGTAGTCACTGCATTTGGCCAAAAGAGGGCACGTATTTTCCCATCCATAACACACAGACAGAGGCTTGCTGTCACCGCAGGGAACAGAACACTGTTTCTAAGGGCTTCCTCCTTAGCAGAGACTGGTCTTCATCTGCTCCCGACAACTCTATCACCTACAGCAGATACGCCCCCGCAGGAAGTTCATTCAGGCTCCAGTGGTGGCCCCTAAGGGCTTGGACCCAAATTTGTCCTGCCTCCCAGGACAGCACGTTGGGGAGAGGGCAGAGGAACACCAGACAGGCTCGCGTGACTGTTTTTATTCGAACCACCAGATCTGCCCCAATAAGGAGCTCCCCAGACCCTGCCTCACCTGACAGGAAAGGGCCTGGAGTCAGGGGAGAGGGATCTGCTGCTCTCAACCCTGCAGAGGGAGGTCAGATGGAGCTGGGGCTTCCTGGGGACCCTTCAGACTCCTCCCTCTGCCTGTCCCTGGGGGGCTGAGGATGGGCTTCCCCGCCCCAGGATGGGGGTGGGATCTCAGTCAACCCCTGACCAACACTCCATGCAGGGTTGGGGGCCTGGCCCTGGACACATGTCTCCAGGCGAGGAAGTTGTGGTCCCTCGTCCATCAGGCCTGCTGCCACTCTCTACCCCGCTGAGGGGGAGGACACACGTGATCCTTCGCCATCCACTGGGGACCCAGAAGGGGGTTCCCCGCATGACATTCCTCCCCTCAGCCTCAGGCCAGCAGGCGGCTGTACTCTGCCAGGGCAGAGGACTTCTTCACCCCGTCCCAGATCCGGGCAGCGTAGTGAAACCTGAGAGAGACGATCAACAGTCAGAGCGGCCCTGGCTGGGGCCCAGCATCCCGGCACAAGCCCTGGCCAGGTGGGAAGACTGAGGCCTCATGTACGATCTGAGGTGTGACTGAGCCTCTCAGAGCCCAGTCTCCTCGACTGGGATCCAGGGAAGATGCTAACGCCGATGGGAGGTGGCCCTGATTCTCCTACCTCCCTGGGGTAAGAGAAGGTGAAGGGCCTTCGCTTGGACTAAGACCTCAGACCCCCACCTCCGAGTCCAGACTTCTTCCCACTCCACTCAGTGTTGGCCTTGGTGGGGTCACGGTTCTCTCTCTACCCGCTTCCAGTCTTGTGAGGATCAGATACGTCTAACAGCTGCAGAACCTTTGACCTCCCACATCCTCTCCCCGTCTCCACTGGGCCTGGGTTCAGACCAAGCAGAGAAGCAGAGTTCTAGCCTCCCTCGCCCTGCACTCACCTGAGTGGCTTTCTGGTGCTGGGTTTGCCCTCCCTGCCCCTTCTAGCCACAGCCAACTACAAAAGACCCCGGGGAACCACGCCAGAGGCTGCCCCAAGCCAAGCTATTTCTCCTTCAAATTTGTTTCTCTTCAGGCCGGCCCCGTGGCATAGCGGTTGAGTGCGCGCGCTCTGCTGCTGGCGGCCCGGGTTCGGATCCCGGGCGCGCACCGACGCACCGCTTCCCCAGCTGTGCTGAGGCCGTGTCCCACATGCAGCAACTAGGGGGATGTGCACCTATGACATGCGACTATCTACTGGAGCTTTGGGGGGAAGATAAATAAATAAAATTAAAAAAAAAAAAAAAATTTGTTTTTCTTGGAAATTAGAGGAGGCAGACCTGGATCTGTGGCAGACGTGCTATGGGCTCTGGACACAGCAAGTCATGGAAAGCTAGGGCTAGGGGGTGGTGCCGGGCCCGGTGAGGGCAGGGTGGAGAAAGCCAGCTGGCAGAGGAGGAGAACAAACGGACAGGGACAATCAGGCTGCTATCAGTGAGCGCTGGAGAATGCAGCTCCTGTGGTTCCTGATGGCTTTCCAGTTTGCTCTCCTGGGAGGCTACGCTTTCTGCACTCAGGGCCTTAGAATAAATCTTTAAGCTTAACAGGGCTCACTGGTCCTACTCCTCGCAACCAAGTGACACCTAACCACAGGTGTGTGACCTCGTTATGTGACACTTCCTCTCTTAGCCTCAACTTCCCCACTAGTCAAATCGGTGGTAAGAAATACATCCCACTAGCTAATCAGGAGGATTCAAAATCACATAAAAGAGTACATTGCCTGACATGGAAGAGGCGCTTACAAGATGGTAGCAACCATCAATGTTCCAGAGAGGAAACAGATCTGGTGAGAAGGGGCTTAATGAGGTCACACAGATCCCTCAGGAGTGCCTTCTGTGTGCGCCAGGTTGGGGCACCTCACCTTGACCCCGTCTGCCAAAGCTCTTACCAGTTCTTCTCGGTGAGGATTGTGTGTGACAGCTGTGGCCGGGCCATGGACATGACTTGGCTCCGGAGCTTGCTCACCAAGGACTGGAAACTGGGGTGGCCCCGGTACCCCGGAAGCAGGGAGAAGAGTGGGCTGGAACCAGGTCCTGGAAAGTAGAGGCAGGGAGGATAAGGCGGACAGCCTGCCGAGAGAGGGCCTTCCACCAGCGTCCTGAGCTTCCAGGAGCACCTCCGAGTTTGGCCCTGGCCCAGCTCTTCCTGTACTTCCACGACTCTGAAATGCACTCCTAAGAAAGGGTCCAAGCATCTCAGGGACAGGCCAGAGACTACCCTCAGAGGTGGATCTCCCAGCGCAGGGCACCGGTGTGTCAGTCACCCCCTAACCAGGCTGGGCCTGTCTCTCCCTCCAGACCAAGGAAGGACCTGTCTCCCTGTGGACCAGACTCCCTTGAGGGGGAACCACACCTGCTCGGGGTGGGGTTTCACTCTCCGCTTCACTGTCCATGAAGGGCACCAGGAACAAGTTGACCTCAGAGTCCAGGAAGTCGGGGGGGAGCCCAGGGAAGACGTTGCACTGTAACATGGAGAGAGTACCTGGAGGAGAGAACCCATCAGCCTGCAGGTACCATGTGCGGGGCAGGGGGAGGTATGCACATGATGGTCGGGCTAGGGCCAGGAGACCTGTCTGGGGTCTGGGCCGCGGACTGGATCAGAAGTTAGGAGACCACTGGCCAGCTTGGGGGTGGTTCGGGGACCCTCACCCTTGTAGCGCAAGTGGGAGTGGGCCATGAGCTGGTCGATCATCAGGTGCATCTGCTGCAGCTTTCGGGGACAGAAGTCTTCTCGGCGAGCTTTGTTCTGCAGGAAGACTGGGCGGTGGGGGGCGGGGGGATGGGGCCCTGTCAGGCAGCTTGTGCTCAGCCACGTGGACTCCTCGTCACCCTAAAGATCTGCCCTAACCCCTGAGTTCAGATCGTGGTAAATATTTGTGTGACATGTAACTGCACTTTAGCACCAGGCCCTGTGCTGGGCGATGCTGGGACCCAGAGATGAGTCAGATCTGGTTTCTGCCCTCAAGGAGCCCCCAGTATGATGGAAAAGACAAAAGAGGAAGATGGCTGTGTGATCAGGAGTATGACAGAAAGAGGCACCAGGGGCTTGGTGGGCCCAGAGGAAGCAGGGAAGACCTGCTGGGGGTGCATAAATGAACCAGATCTTTGCTGAAGAGCAGTGCGTCAGTAGGGCAGAGCAAGGACAGAGCAGGCCAAGGCCTGGCATTTACAAGGGCTGAAAGAGGGAGCACAGGGTGCAGGGGCCAGCGGGTTGATTCAACATGTCCTGAGCCCCATGCTGGGAGATGCCAGCGACAACAGGCAGACTTGGATCCCCAAGAGGCTCCCATTTTGATCAAGGAGCCAGACCCAGACTCAGGGGTCATGCCCTCACTGGCCAGGGTGGGACTGAGGCAGAAGACCCTTAGAGGAAGCAGCAGCTAATCCTTTTTGACTTCCCTCCTTACAATTCTCAAAAGTGCTCCTCTCAGCTCCCCAGTTCCCTGGAGCACTCCTGGTTTTCACCCCTCATTCTTCCCCCTGCCCCCACCCCCTGGCCCCTAGAAAGCCTCTCACCCAGGTGGGGGTAGTACTCAGTGCCTTCATCGGAGCCTGAGGAGCTGCTGGACTCGTGGCTGGGGGATGGGGTGGAGGGCTTCACCATCTCTGCCGTCTGGAGGAACCTTGGGGTTTGGGGTGAGAGGTTGGTGCTGTGGCACTGGCACCCCATATCTCACAGCATGGGGGAGGGGGCTCCTTTTGCAGATCTGATGAAAGCAACAGCCACACGCAGAAAAATGCCACACACACAACAGATTTCTCAAACAATTTCAGGGAGTTCAGAGACAATCTTCTCAGACACCAATCCATGGACCCATGTCAACTGTATGCATTCTTTTTTTTTTTTTTTTGAGGAAGATCAGCCCTGAGCTAACATCCATGCTAATCCTCCTCGTTATGCTGAGGAAGACCGGCTCTGAGCTAACATCTATTGCCAATCCTCCTCTTTTTTTTCCCCCCAAAGCCCCAGGAGATAGTTGTATGTCATAGTTGCACACCCTTCTAGTTGCTGTATGTGGGACACGGCCTCAGCGGGGCCGGAGAAGCGGTGCGTCGGTGCGCGCCCGGGATCCGAACCTGGGCCGCCAGTAGCGGAGCGCGCGCACTTAACCGCTAAGCCACGGGGCCGGCCCAACTGTATGCATTTTTTAATGAGTTTATGCTACTAAAAAGAAAAAAACTTTATTTTTTAGAGCAGTTTTAAGTTCATAGCAAAACTGAATGGAGATTTCCCATAGACCCCCCTGCCCCACACTTGAGGACCCTCCCCCACTATCAATATGCCCCAGCCGAGTGGGACATCTGCTACAACTGATGAACCTGTCACACATCACTGTCACCCACAGCCCGTAGTTACCATCTGGGTTCACTCCAAGTGTTGTGTATTCCATGGGTTTTGACAAAAATGACATGTATCCACCATATAGAATCACACTGAGTAGTTTCACTGCCCTAAAAATCCTCTGTGCTCCACTCACTCACCCGCTCCACTCCTCGTCTTTTTACAGTCTCCATACTTTTGCCTTTTCCAGAATGCCATATAGTTGGAATCATACAGTACAGTAGCCTTTTCAGATTGGCTTCCTTCATTCAGTAATATGTTTTTAAGGTTCCTCCACGTCTTTTCATGGCCTGATAGCTCATTTCTTTTTAGCACTGAATAGTATCACATTGTCTGGATGTACCAGTTTATTTATCCATTCACCTACCAAAGGACACTTTGGTTGCTTCCTAGTTTTGGCAATTATGAATAAAGCTGCTACAGACATCTGCAGGTTTTTGTGGGGACCTAAGTTTTCAGTTTATGCTATTTTTAAAATTTTTTTATTTATTTATTTTTTCCCCAGAAAGTCCCAGTAGATAGTTGTATGTCATAGCTGCACATCTTTCTAGTTGCTGTATGTGGGACGCGGCCTCAGCATGGCCGGAGAAGCGGTGTGTCAGTGCGCGCCTGGATCTGAACCCGGGCCGCCAGCAGCGGAGCACGAGCACTCAACCGCTAAGCCACGGGGCCAGCCCAAGTTTATGCTATTTTTCAATAATTTTTCCAAATACGTAAAAGTCAAAAAAATTAACCTGTTATCTGAGAGAAGGGATAATAGGATCTGATAAAAGCTATAGACATTCTCCTCATGCAGACACACAGACAAACATGCTGTCCACAGTTTCAAGGGGCTCACCTGCTCTGAGAGGCCCATCTGTAGGCTCTGGCTTAAAAAGAAGGCTCTGCCACATGCCAGCCCGAGCCCATAACCCCACCCAAACATGCTCCACAGTGCAGTCTGTTTTATCTGTTTTCTTCACACCTGTGTCCCCAGCGCCCAAACAGCGAATGGCGTATATAAATGTTCAATATTATCTGTCATGTGAATGAATTCCAACAGACAATGGTGGTAGGAGGGGAGGTTTCAGAATTAAGTCACTGAGATCTGGTCACAACAGTGGCTCCCCCAGCAAGTCGTCGTTAACTTGTCGGCCAGCCCCAAAACTCACCCCGTCCCCAGGGTTACTAACACGAACAGTAAGCTCCCACTGATCAAGTGCTTACTGTGTACTGAAAGCTTTAAATTCTTTAACTCATTTAATCTGTATAAAATAGTCTGCCTATAAGAACTGCGGAGAAAGAAGCCACTTGCCTAATGAGAGCTGGGATTCAAACTCAGGGCTGCCTGACTTTGCAGACATCTGCTTCCTCCAGCTCAGCCCTCCCTCCCCGTGAGCTCCTGTTCCTTCCTTCTGCCTGGGCCCTGTGCCCAGGGCTGCTGGCCTCCCCGCAACTATTTCCTGGGGCCTGAGGCCAAGAGGAATTCTTGTAGGCACAGGGTTGAGCCAGTCCTGTCTGGTGGCATTTCTGGAACCTCTAGCTGCTTCAGGTAGGACTCCTGCCAGATCCTGACTCCCTCCCTTTTCCTGCCTGCCAGGGTGCCAACAGGATGGTACACATGCCTGGAGAAGATGGACAAGACTCTAAGGACCACACAAGCCAGCTCCTTATGCTGCTCATTCAACAAATTTATATTAAATATCTACCTTGTACCAGGCACTGTGTGAGGCACTGGGGACTCTGCCTTCCTGGGGCTTATATTCTAATGGGGGAGATAGACCATAAAGAGATCTACAATATCCTATCAGGGAGTGATAAGTGCGATGAAGAAAACACAGCAGGGCAAGAAGGGGACAGTAACAGGGATGTTATGTTAGATGGTCAGGAAGGCCTGAGGTTGACCTGAAGGATACAAGGGAGTCTGAGATCTGTGCGAAGAGCACTTCTGGCTAATGGATGAGGAGTGCAGAGCCTAAGCTACACGAGGAACAGCCATGAGGCCACTCTGGCTTTAATGGAGGGAGTGAGGGAAAGTGGTGGGAGAGAAGGTCAGCGAGGTGACTGGAACCAGATTGCACAGGACCTTGTAAGCCACGCTGGGGAAGACTTGAATTTATTCTGGGTGATGTGTAGAGTCAGTGGAGGGTTCTAAGCGTCTATGTGTGTTGAGGGAGGGGTAGGTGGCGGTGACCCACTCCACCTTACATTTTAAAAGGGTCCCTGTGGTTGCTGTGTGGTACCTGTGAGACCTGGGTAAGTGACTCAGTCTCTGGGCCCCCATCCCTGGCCTGGCTCCCCCTCCCTACCAGCTCCTCACCTGTACAGACTGAGGTCTGTGAACCAGTCCTGGACAACAATCACCACGTGGCAGACCGTGAAGAGGAAGGCAGCAATCTGGAGTGACTGAGGGCAGGCAGGAAGGGACAATAGAGTTGAAGGTCCCCTTTCCGGACTGGGGCCCCTGATGCCAGGACTCAGCTGGGGGCACAGCAGGGCCAGGGCCTCAGAGCCTTTAAGCACCTACTGTATGCCCAGACTGTGCTGGCACTTCCCTTACAGCCCATGCCTAAACCGGGCAAGGTAGGAATGATCCCCTCCGTCTTACACAGGTGGACACTGAGGCTTGAAGCAGAAGGGGTGGGAGATGACTTTTTTGAGGGGCAGAGCCAGGAGTTCAGCCAGATCTGACTCTCAGTGCTCTTCTCTTCCTGCAGCTCCTGGGGCACCCAGGACTCTAAGGAAGCAGAAACTAGGTCAACCCCCAACCAGCTCCCCATCACAGATCCTGCGGGGCAGGGTACCCTCAGCCCTGGGGCTGGCTCAGCCCCTCACCTGCATCTCCACATAGGTGTGAGGCAGGTTGTACTCTGGAGGTAGCTTGCGGTCGTTGTTGATGAGGTGGTCCAAGATGGAGGGACTCAGGATGGGCTGGGGCAAGGAAGAGAAGAGGGAGTCAGGGAAGGCGCTGGGTGTCGGGATCCTAGGGGCCACGGCTACCCTGGTTCCACACATTGAAGGCACATACACTGCCCCCCTTAGGACAAAATAAGGTCAGAAACACAGGCAGTCTCTAATTAGTACAGTGCCGGTCAGCAGGAGAAGGGGAAAGGAAAGTCTCAAGGCAGACTCCCTTTCCCCAGCTCCTTTACAAATCATCACTGCTCCCCAGTGCCCAGGCCGAGAGAGAAGAGCTCTCCTCGTGCTGATAAATTTAACATGCACTTGAGTGAGTCATGTCCCTTCAAGACCCTTTTTGTTGTTCGTTGTTTCAAATGCTTTCAAAACTTTGCTAAGATAATTACTGAGGTCAAAACACAATGACTAGTGTGAAAACTGGCGAGGATTTAATAATTGCATCAGTGGGTGTAAAAGAACCAGTGGTGAGCTCATCGCCTTTTCTTAAAGGAATATTCCATGTAAAGACGGGAAGAGCTAAATTAGCCTGATAGTCTATCGACTTCCTACTGCAGTGAGTGGAATTCACTAAGAAAGAGGTTTTCCCAACTGCTCACTTTCTAAAACTCCAAGCACTGCCATGTTCTATTCTGTCTTCATTTCTGTTCTGCCCCACATGGGCCTCTGACTTGGCTCACAGCCGGTTCTGTCGGTCTCTAGGTCCCAGTGGTCCTTGCACAGGGCCTGGCACACTGGTCTCATGACACATTAGTAGGTTTTCCACTCTCCATGTCACCAATGCCCGCAGTAAGCAGAACACTATTCCACTAACATTCAGGGAGCACCAACTATGGGCCAGGCCCTGACGTACAGAGCCAGGGCCCCTTCCTGCAGAGCTCCAGGCAGGTGGGGGTGGGAGCAGGACATAGGACTCAGACTGATAAATCCGTGCTGCGTGCAACGGAAGGTGCACTTGGGCACTAGCGGGTGCTCAGAAGAGGGGAGGGCTTCGGGAGGAGGCAATACCCCAGCGGAGTCTTCAGCGAGGAGAAGGCAAAAAGGCAAGGGGAGGGAGTGTTCTAACGATACCGATACTGACGGCTAAGAGTACTGAGTACTTACTTCCTGTGGGGTGCCGTCCTTAGGACCTGACTTCTGTTAACTCACGGAAACCTCACAAAAACCCCCCGAGGTAGGCAATATTATTTTTCCCACTTATGAAAACCGAGGAATGGAAACGTTAAATAACTTGGCCAAGGCCGTACAGTCATAGGGGGTTTCAGACAAAGGGAACAGGATGAGGAAAGCCCAAAGGAGAGAGAGACCATGGCGAGGCCTCGTGGTGAGTGTGGTGGGGCTGGTAATCACACTAGAGAGGGTGGAAGGGAGGGAGTCTGAAGGAGGCAAGCCACACAGCCTGAATGCCAGGCTAAGGAAAAGGGACCTCACCTGAGAGCAAGGGAGAAGCTGAGGAAAGCGGACAAAATGCATGACAGGTCAGTTCTAACGATAGTGACAAGCCTGAATGCTAACCACGTGCCAGGTCCTGTGCCAAGCACTCTGCCTAGAACGTTCCACTGAATCCTTGCAACAATCCTATGAGGCTGCGTACAATTATCATCCCCCATTTACAGACGAAGATACTGAAGTTTAGGGGGAATTAAAACTTAAAGTGACCCAGCTGGTAAGAATTAAAGGCAGGATCTGGACACAGACCAACTCCAGGGCCCACACTTTTAACTACTTTGCTAGAAGATTCTTTAGGCTACTGTGTACACAATGGATTGGGGGAGGGGGACAAAATTTAACAAGAAGAGACTAAGGGCCAAAAAAAGACAACTTGCCCAAGGGCACCTAGCTGGAGCCACATGGAGTCCAAGCAGGGTTCTGGCTTAAACACATTCAAGGATGGAGCTGAATACGGCATGCAGGGTAGGGCAAGCAGAGGTTGGCACCTGTGTGTCCAGGAAAACAATCCGCTCTTGAGTAATAAAGAAGTCAATGCCACTGGTCTGGTTGCCCCCTCGCTCCTTCATTTCGGCGCTCTGGGCCCGGAAAACATACGCCCTGTGGAGAAGAGCAGGTAGGGTGCGTTAGCAGTCTGGTTCTCAGCCTCTGATGCCTCCAGAGTGTGACCTGTAAAATGAGACAAGGTTCCCTGCCTGCCCATGAGGCCTTCCATCCGAGGGCCCTGCTGTCTGGGGGGGCTATGTTTTATACCCTGTGACTCCACCCCTACCCATAAGTAGATATGTTCACTCATTTAACGAAGTCAACAGACTGAGGTGTTTAAGAGCAGGGACTTCGTCAGACCGCTGGGATTCGAACCCCAGCTCTGCCTCTTCCTGGCTATGTGGCTTTAGGCAAGTTCCTCAATCTCTTTCTCCTCAGTTTCCTCATCCGTAAAATGGGGATAACAATAGTCTCAAACCTCTTAGGGTTACTGTGTGGTTAATATACGTAAAGCCCTTAGAAGAGTGCCTGACACACAGTGATAAATAATTGCTCACTATTAATTACCAAGTGTACCTGTATGATATCCCAGGCACTGGAGACACAGCACTGGCCACTCTCCACACTCACAGGGAGAAGCTGTTTGGTGTCCTGGTTCCTAGCTTTTCCCTTGTGAAGTGAGTCTCCCCCATTTCTACCTGTGCTAGATGATGGGGACACGAGAGCAAAGCAGGCAGAGCTTGGCCTTGCCCTAAACCACTGAGCTCCACTGGGTCACTCTGTGACTTGGACAAAGCGATTTTCTCTCTTTCAATCTGTAAAACCAGGACAATAGTACCTGCCTCTCAAAGGGTAACTCCTACCTCCCAGAGATGCTTTGTAGGTCATCTGACACAGAGCAGGCGTCCTCCTACCTAACAAACACTGCACTGAAGACCTAAGTGCCAGATACCAGGATGCTGCAGTGAACCAGAAAGACAAAGTCCCTGCTTTCATGGAGCTTCTGGCCTAGCTCACAAATCAACAGAATCTGTCACTGTGGGCATTAGGAAAAGAGGTGTGTAGGGCTCCAAGTGGGGTAACTGAGTCGGTGGAGCTGGGAGGGGCTGCCCTAAGAGGCAAGTGACAACGCTGAAGGTGAGAGAGAAAAAGGGAGTTAATTAAGCAACTTTAGTTCACTGAAAGGGGAAGTAAGGGGGGATGGAGGATGGAAGTGAAGACTATTCCGGGCAGATGGCGTGAATGATGAGACCAAGACCAGTGTGGTGAGAGCAGAGACAGCAAGGGGGGCAGGGAGCAAGGAGAGGGTACACAGGCCTTTGTGGGGCACAGCAAGGAACTGGGGCTCTGGCCCAGGAGCCTGGAAGCCCCTGAAGAGATTTAAGCAGATGAGTGGCAGGACTGGATCTTGGTTTTGAAAAGCTCCCCCTAGCTGCTGTGTGGTGAGGACTGTGGGGTGGAGAGTGGATAACGACTCACAGGCCCAGCACTCCAGGCCTCCCTCTGCCTCTCTGACCTGACCTCCCACGACTCCCCTTCTTGTCTCTCCACGGCCTCCATTCTGCACACACACTGGGCGAGCTCCCAGCGCAGAGGTTCACACTTGCCATCCCTCTGATTGGAATGCTCTTCCTCCACTGAGTCTGCTTCTCCTCAAATGTTCCCTTAGTGAGGCCTGCCTGACCACCCCATTTGAAATTGTAACCCAGCCCCGAAGCCACCACCCTATAATCCCTTCCCATTTTATCTCCTACCATGCCAAATAAAGTATTCATTAATTTTCTTTACCGTCTCCTCCATTACAATGAAGGCCTCATGAGGACAAAGATTTTTGCAGTTTTGTTTATGTTGTATCCCCAGCACCCAGAACAGTGCCTGGTACATAGTAAGCACTCAATAAATACTTGCTGAAGTGAACTAAAGCAGGGACACCAGTTAGGAGGCTCGTGGCATCCTCCCGGACCAGGGAGGTGGGCGTGGAAGAGAAAAGCAGATGAATTATAATTAGGAGGTAAAACTTATGAGATCTCATGACAAGAGGTGGTACCAAACACCACCATGCCACATGCTGACATGGCTCAAAAAGACAAGCGAGGCTAATCGGCTTCTCTGGAGCTCAGGAATCTGAACCGAGAGCCACAGGGAAATTGTGCTAGTTAGGGGTGGAATCTGAGATGGAAAGAATGCTATCCCAGAGAGCCAGAGTGGTTCCAAAGCAGAGCCAATCTGAGTTGAAGTCATGAGTGAGAAGAGAGGGATGGAGCCCACCTGGGAGGCAGAGCAACCTCACAGCCTCGGTTCTAGCGAATGTATGTATTCCCACAACAGTGGTTCCTGCCTGTTCTGGGTCTCCACCAGGCCCCGCGGAGATCTGGTGGGAACTATGGCCCCCTTCTCTAGGAGAAACGCCTGACTGCAGATGTGTGTACAATTCTGCATGTGCTGCTGGAAGGTTCATGGACCCCTGCAGGCCCATCCGTGGAGCTCAGGGTAATATCACTTGCTTTATACGAAAATGAACCCTTGTGTTTCTCTGATAACCCCCAGCAGCTACTAGCCCTTTTCACCCCCCATTTTGAGTCTTCCTTAGTCAGACTGTACGTGTCCGCTACTCCCTAATGCCCGCCTTTCTCCCTTTCCTTCCCTCCCTCAGTTTTGGGCCCTAGTTCTTCAGCTCCATCTTCCCCAAATCTTCTCCTGCGACTTCATCCTTCATCTTCACGATTATACACAGTCCCTACTCAAGAATGCAAAACTAAGGCTGGTCCAGAACCCACGCCCCACGTCCAGGTCTCTTTCCCCACTCTATTTCCCAGGCACATCAGCCACATCCTGTGGGCATCTGCTCTGTGCCAGGTTCTCGTTAACGTTTTCTGATCTTATCCCATCCTCCACAAACCCACTCTACAGATGAGGAAGTGAGATACTGGGAGGCAAAGTGACTCGCCCAAGGTCAACTAGCTGGCGAGGGGCAGGGCTGAGACTGAGGTAGGACTTAATGAACGTATCATACCAGTTCCTGGCTGGGCTCTGTACCATTTCCTGGGACAAGGCAGGAAGCAAAGGAGGGAGGTACAGGACTGGTGACCTTGGAGCTACATAAAGATCTAGTCTAGGCCCTAGTCATCCTCAGCTGATGAAGACACTGAGGCCAACAGAGGGGAAGCAACTTCCCAAAGTCCTTTGGTAACATCATTTGTTGCAACACCCAGGCCCACCTTTGCCCTGTCCCAGGTGGGTGCCCACCTCCCTCCTGGCCTTCCACACCCCGACCTGATGCCCCCCTCACCTCTGGTCCTCCTCAGGAGTGTTGGCTGACAACAATGACATGACCATGGACTTGCCTGTCCCCTGGAGGCCCAGGACACCGACCACCAACACATCGGTCTGATCCAACAGGTACTGTGGGAAGATGCAGGAATGTGACCCTTAGGAATCTGTCAGTTGCTGGGGTGGGAGTGAGGTGGGGGTCCCAGAGACTTTTGTGGCTCGTCCACCTGCCTTGTCAGATATGAAGAAACACTTCTATGGCCCCAATCCTCTAAACTGGGCAAAGGCCTCTGTATGTATGTGTGTGTGTGGTGGTGGTGGTGGGGTATGTGGAATGTTCTGGACACAAAGAACAGCATTTGTAAGAGCTCTAAAGCAGAAAAGAGCCTGGTGTGGTCAAGAAGCTAACAGGAAGTCAGTGGGGCTGGAACACGGTCAGCAAAAGGGAAGGTTGACCTTGGGGAAGAGAAGGTGAGTGGCACAGGAATGGAAGGACAGATTAAGAATCAGACTGGGTAAGCGAGGGCTACTGGAGCAGACTCCTGGGAGGCTTTGGCTTCAGGCAGCGGGGGAAGCATGAGGAAGGGAAGGGGTGTGGGAGGGGGATCAGTCTGCCCCGGCTCTTGTCTGTGAGATTTAGTTAGGAGTCCTGGAAATTCCTGAGACCTGCACCTCTGGGCCACCAGCTCTGCTGACTTCCACCACCAGGTGGCATAAGAGACCCTCCTAGAGGAAAACAGACACGGCCTCAATTGTGGCTGCTGCTCCTTACAATCAATCACCTGGAGAGCTTTACAAAAAAAAAAGAAGCCAACCTAGACCTAACTTTAGACATGTTAAAGTAGGGTATCTCGGGCTAGCCCTGTTCAATGTGGTAGACACCGACCACATGTGGCTATTCAAATTTAATTAAACTTAAACAAAATAAAAAATTCAGTTTCCTCAGTTGTACTGGCCGTATATGGGGATACATGGGTAAGTGCTCAATAGTCACACACAGATTAGTGGCTACCATACTAGATGGTGCAAACACAGAACATTCTCGTCACTGCAGAGAGCTCTACCTGACAGTGCTGAAGGGCAGGGCCTGGATACCAGCTCCTTCTCTTTTTTAAAGCTCCCCAGTTGATATCAGTGTGAGGGTGGACAGCAGCAGGGGCCAGGTAATAATGGGCCCGGCATGCTGTCCTAATAAGTCCAAGCTGTTGCAGAAGAGGAGGGCACACACCCAGGAGAACTGCAGCAGGGGCGCGATGTGCCAGTCTTGAGGGGCAGAGCAGCAGAAGAGAAGAAATGAAGACTGGGAGAGTGGAGGTAGGTATGACGGTCCAGGAATGTGCGGTCTGAACTAGAGCTGCTGGGATGGAGGGGGCACCTCTAGGGAGTAACATTCAAACCAGTAAACACCGGTACTGCACGGGTTTTGACCAATCAGGAGACGGAATGGAGCAGGGCCCAGGAGGCTGTCCTGCTGTGGGGCGGTGCAGGAGATCCCAGGTATGGGGGCGGGGGGAGCAGAGAGTACCTCTTCGCCAGGCAGTATCAAAGTATTTCAGTACTTTACCAACCAGCACAGCTGAGCTGGTGTCGGCCACTGAAATTTGGCCCTGGCTAGGTGAGAACTTTCTGATCCATTGCTGCAAATGCCTGAAAGCCATCTCGTCTGGTGTTGCCTACCAAAAGGCTGCAGGTAGGGGGTGGAGGAGGCGAGAGTGCGGGACCTGGGGAAGCTCAAGCAGGGAGAGACCCCCCAGTACCTCAATGGCACTGTCGCACCAATTCATCTGGTCATCCACCAACTTGATGCTGTGCTTCATGCGCTCTGGGGGCAGGAGTTTGGCCTGGCCCACGACAGCTGGAGACAGGAGAGAGCAGGAGACGGCAGACGCGGTGAGGGTCTGGGTGTGAGGGGGTTCTAGCTCCCAACCAGATCCTGCCCGGCCCCAACTCACGGTCCATGGCTGCTGGTGCGGCAGGGCCCATGCCCCGGTTCTGGATCTGGTACACAGGCTGCGTGGGTCTCTGCCCCTCCTTCTCCCCCTTGGATGGCGCGGGGGTTGCAGGAGGCGGCGGGGCGGTGCCTTCGGGGGTTGAGGCATTCGTAGCAGATGCAGGCCCTTTCCCTTCCTCCCGTGGTTTCATGAGGACGATGGGCTTCTCCAGAGGACTTGGGGCAGGAGGGGCCGCAGGGGCTGTTGGAGGTGGTGGCTGCTTTGACTATGGGAGTGAGAAGGCGCCCATCAGTGGGAGAGATCTTGCCCTAATTGCTCCCGGCCTCCCCTCCCCTTCCCTTTGGAAGATTCTTTCCTGCTCACCCGCTCAGCTGGAGGTTTTGAGAGGATGATGGGGGTTTTCTGCATGACCGACGTGCTTGTCTCTTCGCTGGCATCCTGTGGTAAGGGAGGGCAGTTACTCAGGAATGGCTCTCCTGGCTCTCCTGGACACTCCTGAAGGCCTCTATGTGCCCAGTTCTATTCTAAATGCCTCCATGTATAACTCCCTCAATCCTCCCAACAACCTGATGACACAGATACTATTATTATCTCCATTTTACAAATGAAGAAACTGAGGCACTGAGAGGTTAAGTGGCTTGCCCAAGGTCACACAGCCAGTAAGCAATGGAGCCTGCATTTGAACCCAGGCAGCCTGGCTCAAGAACCATGCTGTCAACCACTCTGCTCAGCTGCCCAGATGGAAGGAGCTAGGGTTCTGGAGCTAGACAGATCTTGGTTCAAACCTGCCCTGCCTCTTGTTGGTTGTGTGAACTTGGAAAGGAATCCCCCTCATCTAGGTCTGTTTCCTCATCTGGCGAATGGGGACAGGAACTCCTTCCTCACAGGACTATTATGAGGTCCAAAGGAGAGAGAACTCCTACACTGTCCCTGTGGCTCTGACGCTGCAGATGCCACTATCTGAGAGCTGCTGGAAGCACCAGCTATCCTGACCCTCTCCTCCCCAGCACTCTCCTGCACTAGCCACACCCTGCCCTCTTCATGCCTCTTCGGACTCACCCCTACTCTGCTTAAGAAAGGGGAGAGAGGGCCGGCCCCGTGGCTTAGCGGTTGAGTGCGCGCGCTCCGCTACTGGCGGCCTGGGTTCGGATCCCAGGCACACACTGACACACCGCTTCTCCAGCCATGCTGAGGCCGCGTCCCACATACAGCAACTAGAAAGATGTGCAACTATGACATACAACTATCTACTCGGGCTTTGGGGAAAAAAAAAAAAAAGGAGGAGGATTGGCAATAGATGTTAGCTCAGAGCTGGTCTTCCTCAGCAAAAAGAGGAGGATTAGCATGGATGTTAGCTCAGGGCTGATCATCCTCACAAAAAAAAAAAAAAAAAAAAAAAAAAAAAAAAAAAAAAAAAAGAAAGGGGAGAGACCTGAGCATGAGTCCTGTGCCTTTTCTGGTTCCTTGACTAACCTCGGGAGAGTCTCAACCCCTCACTGGGTCTGTTTCTTCACCCATATACTGAGGACACTAATTTAAATCCTGCTCACTTCACTGGCCTCTGGAGAAGGACAAACAAAAGGATGACATGACATTGCTTTGGAAAGGACAGTCGTGTGAGAGCTGTAGGAGAGGCTGTGGGCTTCCAGGAGGCCAGGGAGGAGTGGACGATGCCAGGACAGAGGCTGTGGGCAGAGAGATGACGGACAGGATAGGAGACATATTCACGAGGCACATGAACAGCATCGGCGCCTGACTGGCATGGGGCGGGGCAGGGGAGGCGTCTAGGATGGGCCCAAAGAGCTGTCATTGATACTGGGAGGAAGAGAAATGGCAGGAAGATGCTGAGGTCAGCAGGGGACATGGAGGTTGTGAGGAGTCCACTGGCCAGTCAGGAGGCGGCCAGAGCTCAGCAGCACAGTCAAAGACAAGACATTTGGGAGTTGCTTGTGCAGGGCCTGAAGCTGAAGGTGTAGGAAGATGGTAACATTCCCCAGAGGATGTACGTGGAAGGAAGAGAGACTGCGTGTTCTCACTTCTGCTGCGACCCAAGGGAAGGAAGAAGCAAGCACTGAGCTCATGGTGAATAAATTCTTCTTCACGCCTGCAGTTTTATGGCTCAGAAACGGGTCCAAACTGTTACCTTCTTCCACCCCACCTAACAGCTCTCACAGGCGGGCGGGGCCCCGGAGAAAGAACCCAGGGCAGGTTCCGGCAGTAAGGGACCTAAGCACAGAGGAGCAGGGCGGAGCCTGGGCCACACGGAGGCTCTCGACTCCCAGGCCAGGACGCTCGCCAGCACGCAGAATGCTGCTGCACGCAGGGCTAAGTTGCACTTGGGTTCAAGTCCTGGCCCCAAAGTTTATTGACTCCATGACTTTTGGTAAGTCCTTTCCCTTCTGAGGCTCATTTTCCTCATTAGTAAAAATCAGACCTATCCTAGGTCCGACTTCATGGGGCAGCAGTAAGAGTCCAGCAAGATCAAAAGGATGCACAGCCCTTTGCGTAGTGCCAGCACACTGCATGCTGCTCGATAAATACGAACGGTTGCTGTTATTATTATACAACTCTTTACACACGAGCTTTTGGCATCTCTCAGCTCAAACTCTCCAATGCCAATTTCATTTAGTGAAATTTCAAGTTCCTTCCAAGGCCTGCCAGGTCCTCTGGGATCTGGCTCCACTTACCTCTCAGACCTCATCTTCTATCACTTTCCCTCCTTCCTCATCCGCTGCAGCCATACCGGCCTCCTGGCTACTCCATGAACACAACAGACATAGGCCTCAGGGCCTTTGCATTTGCTGTTCTTTCAGTCTAGAATGCTCTTCACTCAGACTTCGTCACGGTTTGTTCCCTCACCTCCTTCAGGTCTCTGCTCAAAAGCTGCCTCTTCAGATAGGTGGTCCCTGACCACTCCATCTAAGACAGCCCCCTTTATGTCAACCCTCTCACTCCACGAGGTCAGCCAGTTTTGTTCACAGACACATCCCCAGCAGCCAGACTCGTGCCTGGCACATGGCAGGTGCTCAACAGAATTTGTGGAATGAGTGGCTGCATGAATGCTGCCCTCGGGCCCCGCCACTCACCCGTCTCTCTCTTTCCCACGGTGCAATGTAGTCCCTCTCCCGACCGCCAGGCCCAGAGAGATTCTGGGGGCCGCCAGAGCCGGGCTCCTTCCACCGTCGCCGCCTCTCTATCCCGTACAGCCCAGGCTGACTGTGTCCAGACTCAGACATGGTCACCTACACAGAGAAAGACCTTGACTCCGGGGTGAAGAGAGTCTTCACACTCAACTTGCTTCACTCTGGACTATAAGAAGGCACTTTCTTTCAAGAGAGCTCTGTAGCTGTGGCAGTGACTGCCAGCTGCTCCCAAGATCCATTCTTCACTTCTTCCAAAAAAACAAAACCCTCAGTTCTGAGCTGGGTATGTGGCTATCTAGAATACACTTCTCAGCCTAGTTTGCAGTTAGGTGTGGCCATGTGACTAAGCTTCTTCTGGTCAATGGTATGACACCAGAAGTGTGTTTTGGCAGTTTTCAGAAATTTTCCTTCACAGTCGCTGGCACATGCCTTTTGTCCCTTCCTCCTCCTGGGTGGAAGGAATGTGGGTGTGGAGGCTGGAGCTCAAGCAGCCATCTTGGACTGTGAGGCAACTTAATGGAAGGAAAGCATGGTAGAACAAGATACAAGGTTCGGGGGGCCCCTGTTAACCTCAAAATATCTACCTCTGGATGCAGAGAGAAACAAATACACTTCTTTCTCTTATGTGTAGCACAAACTATTCACTACTTTGTCCCAACATAAACATAACTCACATGGGCAGGGTCACATAAAAACGGGACATTCTCCATCCCAAAATGCAGCAAGACATTTCCTTACAAATCAGTAATATGACCCTCAGTCTGACAAGTACTCTTGATTACCCACTACTGGTGTACGTGGGGTGGGGATAGGGCTCCAGCATTCAAGGGCCTATTTTCATCTGGTGTCCCTCTACATTTCAGTGTCTGTGCACCTTCCACTCCTGACGGTCTGCCACCCCTCACACTCCAAGGTCTCACCAGTGTTTAAATTAATCTAAGATGTTATAAAATGTATGGCTACCTATATGACCCACTCCCTACCATTTAAGTCTCTGTTTACAGGTCCCTAGGGAGCTTCCCCATGTCAACCTGCAAAAACAGAAACCAGTTTAAGAGGCAAAGCATTTATTTGGGATCAAAGAACTGTAATTTGGGGAGCACAAATTCAGTAGAAACCCAAATAGCGTCCCCCTAGGAAGTAAAAGTCAGGGGTTTTTAAAGGCAAGAAGAGAAGTTGAATTACAAAGAATTTTAATTGGAGTGGGAGGCAGAGAGCTAGTCTTGGCTAAACATTGACTATTGATTCTATCTTCAGAAAGTCCACAATCCTCAGTCTCTGTGATCAGGATATCGGTTCTCCTGTTGACTTCTCAAACAATTGCTTGTAAAACAATCCCTGTTTTGGCCCAGTCCAAAGGTTTGGCCCAGCCCAAGGTTCAAGACCGCAAGGCAGTTTCTCTGGAAAGGTGGCTCTGACTCATTTAAAAACGGCTCCACTAAAGTCAATTTTGACAACCCACTGTTTACACGTCATTCTAGGGAAGTCTCAGCGCTTAACTGTCTGCCTGCAGGACCATGAGGCCATCTGCTGCAGCTCAGCGGGCAAGCTGGCCAACTGCAGCCTATGGACCAGATATGGTCGGCATTCCACTTTTGTAGATACAGTTTTATTGGAACACAGCCCCATCCATCAATTTACAAATTGTCTATGGCAGCCTTGATTCGATGGCAGAGCTGAGTAGTTGAGACAGTGAAAGTACGGCCTGCAGAGACTAAAATAATTGTTCTCTGGCCCTTGACAGCAAGTTTGCTGACCCTTACTTAGCCCTTAAGTGCCTGTTAAATCGTTCAATGACTCCCTCCACCCCGGTACACAGTGACATCAACCGGTCCCTGTAGGAGACTCTGTCCAGAACTGAGTATCTGTTTACAGGATGCAGGAGTAATTTCGCCAGCCAGGCAGGGGCTGGTCCAGCCCCTCACTGCTCTCCCAGACGTCTCCCCGGCCACAAACTGGGCTGGAGCCCGCCTTCTGAGACAGAGGAGCAGGCCTGTTTACAGATGCTTATGGAAATGATTCATTCGGCCCTTAAAAGACTGTTTACAGCTCCCCCGGAGAGTCCCTTCCGCGCTTGGGACTCCTCCGCCCCTCGCAATTACATCCCTGTTTACACGTTATTCTGGAGACCTCCCGGGCGCTTAAGCGTCTGTTTTGATGCCTGGATGGGGACGCTGCCCCAGCGTTGGGGCCTGTTTACACATCTACGAGGACCCCCTTCGCATGCACACAAGCGTCCTTCCGCACGTTACTCTGGGCACCGCCAAGTATCCGAGTCTACCGCCCCTGCGGGGAGCTCCCGAGAACCTGAGTCCACCCACGCGCGACCTGGGGACCCCTCACGCTGTCGCCAGGCTCCTCTGGGGATTCCCCGAACACTGACAGAGCCCGTCTGCGTACGTGTGCAGGATCTCCGACTCTCATGGCGAGCTCCCAGGAGCTAAGAGTCGAACTACCCACTCTTTGGGGGGGGGGGCTTCCTCAGCCCTTAAGCCTCTCTTCACACGCCCCTTTTGGGGATCTCCCAGAATCCAAGCGTCTGTTACTGGGGGAGACTCCCAATTCCGCCCTGCCTACTTACGCCCACCCCGAGGAAGCACCCCCCGCCCCGGGGCCGCAGGGCCCACTCACACACCGTTTTAGGACTCGAGCACTCACATTTACGTGGATTTACACGGATTTACATTTACAGGCCCCCACGTGGGGCCTCCCCTAGAACTGAGGAGTCGACCTACATACTCCTCCGGGGCCTCCCCCGTCAGCAGGCACCTGTCTTCAGGCCTCCTACGGGGAACCCCACAACCTGAGTTGCTGTTGACATCTTCGCAGTCCTTGACGGCCCGCTGACAGCCCCCCTCTCAGGGTCTCCCAGAAGCGAAGCCCCTAGCCACACATCATTTGTCTCCTCCCCACCCCACTCCCGCCACCCCGGTATTTAGCGGGCAGCTCACGCTCCCTACTCAGTGACGCCCACCCGCGCCGGGCGCCCGAGAGACCGCTCAACGGTCGAGGAGGGGGCGGGGCCCCGAAGCGCGCCCCGCCCCCCGCCGGTGCGCGAGCCTCGCGCGAGCACGCGGGGCCCTTACCTAAGGCGGCTGCTGATTGGCTCCTGGGGCGCGGTGCGCCGCGCGCTCTCTGCGACCGGGGTGGGGTGGGGGCGGAGAAGTCCCACCACAAGCTACCGGCCTGTAAATGGCGTCTGGGGGGGGCTGGGAGCGACGGGGAAAGAGGGAGAGAGCGGGCACCGGTCACTCTGAAACCGGTCTGGGCACCCCGGAAGCGGCACCCAAGGAAGGCCGCCCCGAAGGAGGAAGAGGAGCAGGAGGTATCGCGGGGCCAAGCTGAGATCAGATCCCGCGGGCTGCTGGCCCCGCGCATGCGCCGCGGGATCGGCGCGCGAGCGCCGGGCCGCGCTTGCGTTGGTGGAGCTGGTTGGCCTCAGCACGCATGCGGGTTACGGAGGGAAGGCGGGGGGCGCTGCTGCTCCGCCTCAGTGCGCGTGTGCGTCTTTGCATCTAAGCGTGGGCGTGCTAAGAGGGAGCGAGGGTGGCTCCGGAGATTTCAGGTTCGAGTCCCGCCTCGTCAGCGGTGTTGGCGGGATGCAGTGGGGTGGGGCTGTAGGGCAAAATTTTAGTGTCCTGGGCTGAGTAAGTACTGAAAGCACAGGAATGAATCAGACCTGGCGTGTGCGCTGGAAGAAATCCTGGTCTGTGGAGGGAGACGGCTAGGGGATCAAATCACATAGGAGAGGGCACAGGTCCGGGTGGACCTTGAAGCGGGGGCATGGGCATTCCAGGCGGAGGGAACCCAGGGAGAAGGGTCCAGACTGGCTTGCAGTCAGAGTTCCCCTGGGGTGGGAGGCGAGGCAGTAGAGGTCAGATCCCCGAGCGCCTCCAGTGTCAGGCTTCATCCTGAAGGCAGTGGAGACGCGGACGGGTGAGCTCAGGACCGCGTATTAAATCCCTCGGGGGCCGCGGTGGAGGGGGATGCGGTCAAGGGTGGAAAATTTAAACGCCTGCGCAGTCCAAAGGGCTCGGCCACTTCTAGCTGGGGCCGGCAGTTACCAATGGGAATGAAAGATTGTTCAAGAGAATAGAGAAATAGATATATAATCATAGATATATAGGTGAATGGAGAATTTAGCATTTTTCATTCCAAATCTTATTAAAAATATATTTTTTAAATTTTTGAACAGGGAATACATGTACCTTCTGACAAAATGGAGTGCACAATAAAAGTAAGTCTTCTGCTCTGGTTCCCATATTCCATTCCTAAAGCACTGGTTCCCAGTCTCCTTCTGGATCTACTGTCAGAGCAAAACGTTGTCCTTAAGGGCTTGAGTCTGGATTCGCATAAAAGGCTGCTGACCTCGGCCAGGTCCCTTAACCTTCTCTGCCTCTGTGTTCCTATTCGTAGAATGGGGATGATCGCACCTTGTGATGTAACTGACAGAGTTAAATGGATGGAAGTGCCTAGGACAGTGCCTGGTGCATAACAGCACTATATGTTGTTATTTTGTGATTTACGATGATAATGATAGCGACTGATTCTGAGCTGCCTCCTCCCCTCCACGCCACATCCCTGCTGCCATTTTCTGAGCACCAGTGCCAGGGGGAACCATTTCTCCACGCTGCCACAAGCTGGGTGGAGAATCTTGTTGTTGATGGATTCTCCAGAAGATTGGGAGTGTTTAGTGGAAATACACGTGACAGGCCATCTTTGTATTATGCCTGTCAGTGTCCCCTATTAGCGTCTTCATCTCAGTTAGATCATGTCTGTTTTTCTTATCTGAATTTCTCCACCGCAGCTCACCCTCCATCCCAGTGTCACATCTGGGCAACCGTCAGAGGTGGAAACGACTTAAAAATGGAAAAGAAAGGACCTGGTGTTGACCATGGGCTCACTGTACCAGGCTCTGTGTTACATACATCACTGCAACCTTCCCCTTTATTTGTTTAACAGATGCAGAAAATGAGTGAAAGAGAAGAAGGGCCTTACTGAAGGCCACATAGCCAGGAAGCAGCAGGGCCTGGATTCAAACCCCAAGCCTGTCTCACTCCAGGGCGAGCCCACGTTTTTTCCCTGGCACCGGGCAGCCTGCCTAGTGGTGAGTCAGTGGTGGAGTTAAGCACCCAAGAGCTGCCTTTTGTCCTAAATTAGTGGCATAATATGCCATTGCGTGGATGTATCATACTTTAACCATTCCCTATTGATAAACATTTAGGCTCTTTCTGAACTTTTGCTCGTAGAAACATGTGCTGCGGTTAAATCCTTGTACATCTGATTGCATGTGTATAAATAGTTTTATCAGTAGAGCCAGAATTGCTGGGTCAAAGAATACGTGCATTGGGAATTTTGAGAATCATTGCCAAATGATCTGTTCATCTCTTAATTCATTTCTCTGTTCATTTCATTCATTCATTCATATATTGAATGAAAGATGGAACTCGAGTCATCTGCCAGGCACAGCTGTAGGCTGGAGATCCGGTAGTGAAATAGGGGCAGATAGTCTAGTGGGGTAGATGATGTCAGGTTAAAGGTGCTTGGAAGAAGAGAACATCAGAATAAGGGAATTGGGGGTGACAGAGGTCACAGAGAGTGACAGGTGGTCAGGGGAGGCTGCTCTGAGGAGGTGACATTTGAGCAGAGGCCTGAAAGAAGGTAAGGAAGTGAGCTGTGTGAAGATGCTGAAGAACAGAAAGTGGAAAGACCCGGAGGTGGAGGTGGAGTGGGCCTGACTGTTTAAGGGTTGTCAAGGTGACCAGAGTGGCTGGAGCAGAGCGAGGGGAAGAGAGGTGGGATTATTTAGGGATGGAGAGACAGAGGGGCTAGGTTACTTAGGGCCTGTAGGCCATGCCATTGGATGGCTGTGAGCAAGGACCAGCGTGTTGTGTTGCATGTTTTATAAAGATTTCTCTAGTGAACACCAAAAATTCCTCACACTGGTTGCCTGTGGAGGTGAGGGTTATAAACAGGTGTGGATCAGAGCTGTGAGGAAGCTTTTATGTTTTTGAACCGTGTGATTATTATCTATGCACAAAGAAAGGTAAATGAAAGCAGTGCCAGTTGCTGTGAGAAGAATGGCCTGCAGCTGGGCAGGAGTTGAAGCAGGAGGTGAGGAAGGTGATGTCCCTGCCCGGGCAAGAGATGATGGTGACTCAGGAAGAGGGTTGTGTGAGAGGAAGCATGAGTCAGGGATGAAAAGCGATGCCTTCTACCAAGATGGGGAGGAGGAGCCTTGCTGGGAAATCGACAAGTTTTGAACTTCTTAACTTTGAGATGTGCATTGGACATCAAGTTAGTGGTCCTAGTTAGGGGGAGAAGCCAGGGTTTGTAGATACAGAATTTTTACTGACTTTTAAAAACATACACAAAGGTTAATATTATGGTATAAAGAACTCCCATGTACCCATTGCCCAGTATGATAGTCATCTACATTTTATTTGTCCTGTTTTCCCCTCCCACATATAAGCACATTTTTCCTGGCATTTCTTTCTTTCTTTCTTTCCTTCCTTCCTTCCTTCCTTTCCTTCCTCCCTTCCTCCCTTCCTCCCTTCCCTCCCCTTCCCTCCCCTCCCCTCCCCTCCCTCCCTTCCTTCTTTTCTTTCTTTCTTTTCTTTCTTTCTTTCTTTCTCAGCTGTCCTGTCATTTTATCAATAACAATAAAAGTATGCTAAATTTTGGAGCCGTTAATATATAGATGATATTTAAAGCCCTGAATTTCACTGAAACCATCTAGGCTGAGAGGATAGAGAGAGCAGAGACGAGCCACGGGGCCTCCCACATTTGGGGATCAGGAAAAGGACCAGCATCTTAGAGAGGGGCTGAGAGGGAGCAGGAGCATCAGGAGAGGTGATGACCTGGCACCAAGGGAACAAAGGGTTCCAAAGAGAAGGTTGACACCAGTTATGTTAACCTGAAAATAAGGTGATGGACTAGGGAGCAGAGATTAGGGGCAGTAGCTGGAGGTGGATGTGGGGTCCACCATGAAAAAAGCATGACTTTTGTGTCCCCGGTCTAACTATGTTAATGGAAATTTCTTGATATAATACAGATTCTATAAGGAGAAGTTAAAATCTTTTTTGGTGAGAGGTAACTTAAATGTGGTAAAGTGCACAAAGGGCACAGATCTTAAAGGTACAGATCAATGAATTTTTATAAACATGCATCTTGTGTAACCATTAACCACGTGAAGATAGAGAACATTTTCAATACTCCAGAAATTTCCCTGTGCCCTTTCCCTGTCAGTTCCCCTACTCCAGAAGCAACCACTGATCTGATTCCGGTCCTGCTCTTGAACTTCACATAAGTGAAATCTGACAGCAGGTCTTCTGTGTGTCTGGCTTCTTTAGCTCTCTCTGTCTGTGAAAGTCTTCTGTGTTGCATGTAACAGGAGTTTGTTCTGTAAGATCTTTCAAAGGATTTTCTAACAGGTATTTTTCATGCTGGTTATTTTACAATATCTAAAATAAAGACTGAATTTCAATTCCACGTTTTGCAGTTTGGTGAATACATAGTGAACTTTAAGGATAATGGAGGATCTGAAGTTCCAGCGTTTTTTTGTTATGTTTTGTTTTTAAGCTTATAAACAAGAGAAATTTATTTCTCACAGTTCTGGAGGCTGGAAGTCTGAGAACAGGGTGCCGACAGGGTCAGGTGAGCGGGGTGTTTTTGTTAACTGCCCAACGTGGGGCCTTCTGCTTGCCGCAAGACATGCTAATAGTCAAGAGGCAAGGTGGTAGGAGAAGAAAAGACTGTTACAGTTTGCTAGCAAGAGGGAAGATGGCCGACTCGTGTTCAAAAGAACCATCTTAAGGGGGCGCAAAATCTTACAGCAGTTATATGAGGGAGGGGGTTAGGAATGTTGGCCTTCTGGTGTTACAGACTGGGAGCGCCACACCAGATCTTTCAGTTTTCACTGATGATGGCTGTCAGCATAGATTCTCTGTTTGGGGGTCATCACATTCCTTAGGAACTCAAAAGAGCAGTTATCATCTTATCGCAGCTGGGAGGTAACATGCACAAGCAGGGGTTGTAAAATCTACAGAGCAGTTAGATCTCCTGGAGGGTGCATAGCCAGCTGGGCTAGTTAGTCAGAGGTCATTCGAAGTTACAATAGGGTTTCTTTTCTACAATATGGCTTCCCTCATGTCAACCTTGTCTTGAGCCGGTATCATTTTTAAGATGCGAGAAATTCCAGCATGTTTGTATGCTGGTGGGCGTGAACAGGGGAAAATGGACGAGGAGACATGGGAACCGGGTCCTCAAGGAGGTGAGGGAGGTGCCGACAGGGTCAAAGTAGAGAGAGGGGGTGGAATTGAATTGAAGAAGGGCCAACTCATCCTGGTAAAAGGAAGTTTTACTATTTGACATTCCTCTCCAAATTGTAAAAACC